TTTTCTGAGGAACATTATTTTTCAGCCTTGTTACATTTTTCCCTGAGATTCAGTCATTAATCATAAATAGCATATGCCCAGCCGGTCAGCTAAATTGTTTTATTATTTCCTCATGTTGATGGCACAGTCAGGTTTTTCTCAAGTAACACATGATAAAACTTTTTGTACCAAATTCATAGCAGAGTATATATTGTATGTATATACTTAGAGGTATTTCAGAAGCATTTGCTCAAGTTTTATTGTGCCTGGTACTAAAAGCATTACAAATGCAGACTGAGATTCTTCTGTCATTTTTCTAGGTTTTTGTTTCTTTTTCTAAAGCACAAACATGAAGGTGATGACCAAACTAGACCATGAACTGTATGCATTCTGTTATGGTGTGTGCTTTCTTTCAGCCTTTGTATTTCAGAATTCTCTTCCATGTGTCCTTTCCAAAACAAACGCCTGAGCAAGCCTCAGTACTAGTGTTCACAACACTGCTGTCATCCTGGTGGGTTCTAAAGAAAGCTCACTTTGATAAACAGGGTACTTAGCTGAGGGTGGGCCAGCTTGGCAGCAAGGTCTGTCCGGCACCTGGTGCTTGCAGAGTGTTGGCACATCCTTAGTCAAGGTCATTTGTCATCCGTCATTCCCATCTGGCAGTGAGCGTGTGCAGAAATGTGAGCCATGATTCTCTATAGGCAATGCCACAACTGCATTACACAGTGGGATGTGGGGAGCAATTGCTGCAGCAGGCATTGCCTCTTTGGAGTGTGTTGTCTTCTGGAAGATACATTATTCAAACAGAGATGCACACTCCGTTAAACAATTCATTTGAATAAGTACATCTTGCTCTCTGCTTTATCATTGAAATATTCGTAGCTGAGCAGGAAAAATTTTGTTTGAAAGTTCAGAAGAAACAATGGGAAGACATTCAAATCATAATTGTTTGAAAGTTCAGAAGAAACAATGGGAAGACTTTCAATAGTATGATTTAAATATTTAAGTTGACCCAAGTTCAGATTGCTGTGATTTGATTCAGATTCATGTGGTGTGAAGTAGCTCTGTGATCATAGTAGAAACTGGTTTGTTGGTTTACAGAGTACTTGAAGATTTACTTTAAAATAAAAGAAGGAAATTTCCTTATACATGGCTGTACATTGTGAAATCATGGTCTTTGGATGTTTGTGACTCCTCCACAAGGATTTAAATCAATTGTGATATCTTTTTTCTTCCCCCTCCTTTAGGATGTGAATTGTCATTGATTCTGCTCTATATCCTACCTTCTCTTACTCTAGTGTTTATTAAGCACAGCTTTCTATAGTGCGTGATTGGTATAATACCATGTACCTTCTGATAGAAAGTATTCCTGTTCTCTTGCTTTTAGGTGAAGGCAAATTTTAAACCTGAAAGCTTGACTCTTCATGTGGGCTCTAACAGCAAGTTAGTTTTCAAAGTGACTGAAAATACACTTTTTCTTTAAATCTACATCCCAGCTTTTTACTTGTTGATACTAAGTCATGAGAATATGCTAATAGTTTAAATTAATTCTAAATGCCACTGCATCTGTGGGTGTCAGCTGAGTTTTATGAATAAATCAAATGCTGTGATCAGCAATGTTTTTGTGCTTGTGCATAGGTCTAGGTTGCCTTAAGCTAACACATTTGTGAGGGGGAAGTTTGGTCTGTAGGATACATAGCTGGCAGTGATGAATGAACAAGTCTTGACTGGAGTTCTGAGTGAGTGTTCATAAACTCGGGAAGTGTTCTGTAGGAGTGGCAGACAGCAGTGACGCACCAAAATCTTTTCTTAACACAGAAAAACCCACTTCCCAACAGCTGGCTGCATTTTGTACAAAGAAGGCCCACTGTTAATGTGCTTACCTTGGTTTTGTTTCTGTGGGGTTTTTTTTCCTCCTCTCCCACTTTCTTAATGTGGGAAAAGTAGTTTGCATCTAATCCAGTGTTCTGCTGATTTATCAGTTTGCTTTTAAGAAGAATGTTAAGATTAACAGCACTGTGACCCAGCATGAGTAAGGACTGGCACAGCCAGAGTGCTGAGAAGACTGTCACCTGTTTACTGTGTGTTTTGTTTGGCTTTTTAACTTTTCACTCTTATTTTTGCCATGCCCTTTCATCCACCTTGTCTGGTCAGCTCTTTTTCTCTAATGTGCTAACCATTGACCATGGTGAAAATTTTGTCTAGAAGCTGTTGTGTACCACTTGGTTGAATAGATTGGACTGAGCCAAGTAAAGTTCTTCATTTGATATTGTCTGAGCCCATATTTCAACCTTTTTTCTTTAATGTTAATCTCATAGTTCTGGTGTAAGCAACTTTTTTGGTGTATGTTTGTTTTGTTAATATGGTAGTAAGGTTTTCCATGTTTTGGGAGAAACACATAAAGCTGAAGGCCTTTGAGTGAGCGCCTTTATGCTATGTCTGTGAAATAAATGTCTCATGCTACTTGATAATAGGGTAAATGCTACAAAAGTAGCTGTGGGAAAGGACTATAATTAGTGCATATGTGAAGCTTCAAGAGAGGCTGGGTTAGTACTATTTTTTGTGGGGCAAGTTTTGGTGACTAAATGGCAGATGAGGGCGTTGTGTTCACAGGAACAGGACTCTTGTGCTTGTACTGAAGGTCTCTGCTTCACATTGAAAGCTTCCTCCTTCTGGGGAAAAGGGGGAGGGATAAGCAGTTGGCTTGCAATGTGATGAAACAATATTCTCTGTAGCAGTAAGTCAAACAGTGATAGAGGTATTTGGATTGATAGAAATTCTTGAGTTCTATTCAAGCAGATTAGAATTTGTTGTTATAAGCAGTAGGAAATGTTCTGAATAACACATGTTATTTGAGACAGCTCTGAGTCCTGGCCAGCTGCAATTACTGGGTTCAGTAGTGTGTGATTTTTGACTGCCTTGAGATTGGAGTGTGGTGTCAGGACAGTGGAGTTGCTTGATGCTTTTATGGTGCTATGAAATACTGAGGGGTGTAATTGGCAGAGCTGGTATTCCCAGAACAGAAACTCCTCAGACTTTCACCAAACCAAAGGTTTACAGGTGGAGAGTGGGATCTGTTCTTCATTTTTATTCATTTGGGGTTTTTTCCCCTCCCATCTTTCAGGAATCCATTTTTCAGATTTGTTACTGTGGTGCCATAAGATTAAAAAAACATATGGATAAACCAAAAATATTTACTTTTTTCTTTTTTTTGCCATGTCTGTGAAGAGATTTGCTGGAAAATCAAAACAGTCATGCAACTGTAAGAGAGGGAACAGAGAATTAGGAGAGCTTGTAAGTGGTTTCAAGGTTAATAGAAGCTGTGTAGTGTGTGCTGAAGTATATACTCCAAAGAAGTGCTTTCAGTGATACAGATTTGGAAGTACTTTAAAATCGATTAGCTATCTGTACAGTTGCACAGCTGTATTATATAAAAAATACCTAATAAGACAATTACTTCAGTTGCTGCTCCCAGCATACATGCTAGTAAGTATGCACTATATACAGCTATTTCCAAAAATGTCATTTAGAGCACTGTCATTTAAATTTTGGTCTAAATGTAGTTTCTAAGTTTTATAGCATATTTTTGACCAGTAACAAAATAAATTACCATTGAAGTGCAATCTTCATAGATGCAACAAGCTTTCTTTCATTTTGACATATGGATCAGTGGCAGAGCCAATAGAAAAATAAGTAGTTTTGAGAAAGAAAGATTAAAGAATGTACGTACTTTCCGTTATTGTTCCATCTCTGTATTTCTTTTTCCTTGGATAAATGTGTAGGTTAATCATATTAGCAGATCTTGTCTCTGTTAGAAAGACCAAATAACTGTTACTGTCCAGTACTAGATAAGTCTTACGTGTGTGTATGTACAGTAAGTGCATACAGTATCATACATTTTAGAGTTTATCTCTGCTTCTGGATCTTTATAACCACATTATGTGGCTACTGCACTTCCCTGACATGCCTTGAGTATAGTAAATGCAATTATTATAAGCTGTGAAATTTGTTTTTAAGTTGAAACATTCAAATACAGCCAGATTCCTACATGACCTCAGAGTAAAGTTTGACGGCTACATTTCTTTTGAATCATGCTAAAAAATTCAGGGAAGGTAAAATTACTAAATGAGTGTAAATCATGTCAAATACCAAAACCCCTTGAGTGAGTAGTCCACAAATTGTCAACACATGTGATAATATGTAAAGACTCTTTTGACTAAACCAATTAAATAGGATGGGAAAAAATAATAAAAGTGGATTAGTAGTAAATGAATTGAAGTCATCACTGTGAAGAGGTCAGGGAAACTTTTCACTCATTTTACATTTCTCACCACTTCCATTGTATTGCTGCAAGATAGTGAGGAAAATGAAATGTAGAATAAACCCCAGTAACAATGGTATTATTGTCTGTATTTTAATATGTCTGATATCTTAGTATCACTCCCTTTGTATATGTGAAAGAAGCAAGTTTATTATAATTCTTTTTATATAAGAGATTATTTACATAAGACTATATTATTGTAATAATATATATCTTTTATACAGGTGTATGCGTTCAGAGAGTACTTGCTTGTACTTAAATACAAAGTATTCATTTTAAGTCACTTTTTTGAGGTGAAGTAACAACAGAACAGTGTTGAAATCAGTAATGAAAATGAGACAAAAGTCTTCAGTTTGTCAGGAATTAAGAAGTCTGAGATGATGTTTAGGAGCTATAAGAGAAAAGAATGAGGTTGGAGGAAATTGTTTCATAGTCTGAGAACAAGAGGCCTTTAATTCTGAAAAACAGTAGTTTTGAACTTGATATGAGGAAAATATTTCATAGTACATAAACATAACATCTAGAATTCTCTTCCTAAGAGATACTAAACTTTTAAAGCTTAGTGGGATTTAAAATCTTTAGAATTCCTATGAATGCCCTTCTTTCATAAGCCAGATACTTACTTGAGAATAACAAATAGCCTTTGTAGTCTGTGTTCTAGGTTTAGTTGCACATTCTTTGAAATAGCTTGTGCTATTCACTGTCAAGTGTCTGGACTAGACCTCATAGAAGGGGCAGTTTAATTACTCTGAAATAAGTATTGCTGTATTTTGTTGCTTCATGCAAAAATATTTTTATACATGAAATACCCTATTTTCTGAGAAATCATAGGCATTTAAAATACTGTTTTGGGTAGTTGGTAGGTGGTCATGGAATATGTGCTTTGACTAAAGACAAAAGAAAATTGAAAATATTCAGAAAATTTCCAGTTATGCTCTTGGTTGTGCTTATTGAGCAACTGCTCTAATCATATGTCTGTATCATATTAGATATAGAAATAATCATTCAGGTGATGTTTGAAGATTCTAACATGTAAGATCTTGTGTTCATACAGAAAACTGTTTTGTACCAATCTCCGAGATCATTGCTGTAGAAGAAACTGAGTTTAACAAGAAACAACGTAACATTGGCAGGTGGCAAAAAATGGCAAAGCTACATGCTTTCACAGGTAAGGCAAATAAGTCTCTGGTTGCTTGTGCTTGTTATTCTGTGAGGGTAGTTTAAGGCAGAATCAAAAGGAATTGTCAAAGTTTTGGGGTTTTTTTTAACAGAGATTGTGTTTAAAAAAACTCCACATCCAAAAAAACAAAACAAAAGAAACCCCCAAACCAAACAAAAACAAGCAAACAAAAACAACCAAAAAACCCCAAAAAAGACCACCCAAAAAAATTTTTTTTTTAATCCCAAACTGAAATAAACCCAAGCAAAAGTCCCATGAAAAACAAACAAAAGGAGCCCCACTAAAAATCTGTTGGTTTATATTTAAAGATCCTTATTTGGAAAATAAAACTCTTCCTTTAAGATCACATGCTGTGTTTAGTTATTGTTTAATGAAGTTCCGACTAATGTCTTGAGTGGTCACTGTAATGTCTTTTTGCTGCAGGAGACTTTGTTTCTACTTCTTGACTAGAAAATAGAGAGAGGGTGAAAGAATGAGTCCTAAATGCTTTTAAATTACCCCTAACCATCAGAATGTATGCATGAAAGTTACTTTGTATTATTGACTGCATTCTTAAAACAAAGTAAGTAAGGGTCTGGCTTAGGAAAAGAGTGGCGACTTCTGTGCTAAAAAGATGTCATGCCAAAATTTTATGTTGTATTTTCCTCGCATTTAGTCCTCCAGTAAAAATGATTTGAGATACTGTATGTAAAGTGTAAATATAAGGTCTTAATCCATAAGAAAGCTAAATCTTTTTTTTCTCAAATTTTAGCTTTATAGAATGAAATTTATTCTGTTGGTTACATGAGAGTTGATGTCAGTGTGGCTTATCTTCTTAAGCTTGTGGCTTTTTGTGTAGGTACTGCAGACTTTATTACAGATAACATGTAAGCTCAGTGAACTTCTGAAGAAGTATGTCTATAAGAAGTTGATGAGACATGGCTTCTTTGAAAAGAATTCTTTGGGTGTCTTCTTGTTAGCGAGTCTTTTTATTTGTGTTTTCATTTGGATTCTACAAATTTGCTGGTCATACTCTGCTTCTGTTATTTGCAGAAGTGTGTAGTGGAGGTTAATTACGGGTCAGTATTTTGGAGATCTTTCTAAAATGTGTTTTTCATTTCACAGAAGCATCTCATGGTTTTTATTTTGTTTGGTGTTTTTTTAAATTTAAATAGTGCATTATGTGAAGAAATCCCGAAATCACCGCTGGCGGTGCAGTGATGCGATGTTCTGGTGTGTTGATGAGCACTTGTGTAATCAGTGGACACAGGCGCTGAAGGAATTACTTGAAATGCAGAGTAAGTTTGAATATACTGTGAACATTTGCACCATAATTTTTAAGGCTTGTACATCAATCAGTGTTATTTTGATGTATCTGCTTTTTTTAAACTCTTAAGAGCAGCTTATGCTCAGAAATTGACGGAGCCAAGAGTTAAGTATTTCCTTATCACTACTTTATGTTACATATTCACTAAGTTGTACTGAGTGCTTTAATCACTCAGGACTGTTGGTGTCATATAATTTTGCTCAGATATAAATTATTTTCACAAAATGAAGACACATTGGAAGCTTAGCAGAGGCTTTAAATGACTGTAGCTTTGGAAGAAGTAATGGGCAGATGTAAACTTAATGATTTAAGGTACTCTCAATATGAGGTCAAGGACTGTAGCAATTGGAAGATTTATGGGTGTGTTTCACCTTTCCAGACTCTGTCATCAGGAAAATGTGTCTAATGTAGTAGGAGTTCCTCAGTAGTAATTTCTGAGACTCTTGGACATCTACTTCATGGGAGGTTAAAAGTAACTTTGAAGGAGTTATTCCGGAAAGAGATACCTTGATAGATGTCAAGAAGCAGCCGGAGCAGAGAAACTCTGACAGAAAGGATGTTGGGGTGATCATAGCAGAGGCAGTGCCTTGCTGACCAGGGTCCCACTGTATCTGAGCAGGGTGGGCAGAGCAGGGATGGGGATAGAAACAAGTCCAATTTACAGCCCAGGTGAGATAAAGTAATTGGGTCCATCCAGGGAGGCCAGAGTGGAACAACTGGAGATAGGACTAGGGATGAACTCCCTGCAGTGTAGGTCTGAGGCCCATCTGAGATACAGAGCTGGAGAAGGGATTGGATACAAGTACACCTACAGTGGGACTTACACAAGTACTTAAGGCTTACAGAATAAAAATGAGTATTTTAGAAAAACTGTTCTGAACAGACAGTGAGGGCATTATTAATGTTTGTTTTGTATACATTACACAAGGTACATCTTTCTCAAAACATGGGGTTTGTGCACCCATTCAGTACACCTGTGAGAAATGTGACCTGAGCAGTCAATTCATTTGAATACAGTTGTTTTGGTAACAAATTCCTTCAGGAAAGGGAATATGTTCTCACATGGGCAGAAGAGTGCTTTGAGTGTACAGCAGATTTAAACCACTCAGTCTCTGTAGCTTGGGTGGATTTGTTATAAAAGTGCGCTGATGTAATAATCTGATATTTTTTCCTTTTAAAATAATAATCTAGAATGCCATTTGAGGAAATCTAGATGTTAACGTTTTTGTCTGCTCCATAAAAAAGGAGATGATCTAGGTGCAGCAAGCATTACTGTTTTGTATCTCTGTTAATACAGAGGTGTAGTAATTGTTTTAATTGACACTACTAGTGTAAATCCATAACTGTTTGGACAAATTTGAGATAGTAATATCAAAGGTGCTTTTGGAGGGGGGAAGGGGTGACACTTTAGGGCAGCTAACACTGTAGGACAAGCACTTACAGTGCAGCATGTAGTTTTGTGAGGCATTCTCAGTGTGACTTGATCACAGAAAGGAAATTAATTTTAGCCATGTTATTAAAAAAAGTTTAAATAAATGTATGTAAAAGTATTTTTATGTATGCTCCACTTACAAGTGGCTTTGCTGTTGCTGCCCTTTTCATCTTCTATGTCCATAATACTCATGCAATTAGAGTAACTTGTATAGTGGGAAGGTACTGCAAGAATGACAAGTAAGAATGTGAGATAGGGAGTCAAGAGAAATGATTCTGAGTTTCATCTTCTGTCTTATTAACAATTTGTTCGATACTGTTGATACCAGTATAATAAAGAGCAAATGAAGCAGGCTTTTATAGCTCTTTGTTAAAGAGTTACAAGTCTATTGTGCTGTGCTTGCTCTGATGTTAATAGGTTTAGGTTTGTATGGCTTGATGAATTTTTTGGTTTGTGTACAAAAGCAGTGCACTATGGTTTTCCTTACTGCAGAGTCTAGACCAAAGCAGCTGCTTGTGTATATTAATCCCTATGGAGGAAAAAGACAAGGCAAGAGGATTTATGAACAGAAAGTTGCTCCACTCTTCAGTCTGGCTTCTATATCAACTGATGTTGTTAGTGAGTAATGAGTACTTTAATTTCTTGATAAGCATAGTATGAACTCCTTAAAACAATCCTGAATAGCTGAAGTTCTTTCTGTTAGTTACTTTTTCTCACTAAGGAAATTAAAGAAAATTGTAGAGAATGTTTTCTAAATAAACATAGCCAGATAAATGGCACCCTTCTATCAGCTTCCTGCTTACTAAAATAAAACTTCTTGTGCTCCTGAGCTATTTGAGTTCTAAATAAAAGATTCTGCCTTTCTTCTCTTTTTCAGTTTCACTGTTAAAACTTAATTGATCGTTTGCACAATTTTTACTGAAATATTTTTTCTGTATGTACTATGTATATCTCCTTTAACTATTTCCCTGGCAAAAATCTTTTGAGACACATCTAATGAACAGGCTGTTTTATAGTCACATTGGTAATAGAATCATGGTTATTTATTAATTTATTTTTATAATTCTATTGTTTATAGCTTTATAGTAGTTTTTAATAATAAATTTTAATGTGGTTATTTCTTCACAGTAACTGAACATGCTAACCATGCTAAGGACAACTTATTTGAAGTTAATATTTATAAATATGATGGGTAAGTAACTTTCCTTGTCTTTTTTATTATTTTTGAGCCAGTAATTATGTAATTGGTCTGTTCCTGTCCCTAATTTAAAAGGGTAGCCTTCATTACTAATGCATTTTTTGCAACGGCTGAAAGTCCTGGGGCATGTTCCTTTTTGTAGGAGATCCACATTTAGGAGTATAAAAAGAAAAGTAAACTCTTTCAGTAAACTTGTTCAACACAATATATTCGAGCATAGTATAACAATGTTTGCATGAGATTTGTGTTCAAAAGATGAATGTTAGATTAATTCTGCTCAGTTGAGCATTCTGTTATAGCTCAAAAGCTATCCAGAAGTGTTTTGTGGTCTTGCAGTTCAGAACACTGCACCAGTAGCATTCAGTCTGTGTGTAAAAACATCGACTGTTCAGAAATGTTTGAGGTGGTTCCTCTTGCTGTATATGACTGTTCAATAGTGGCTACATCGTGGCTACATTTATTTGCATTTCTTCTGTTTCGTAGTTAGTGCTTTAAAAGAAGACCTGACTGAATGGTGATCTTACATTCCATTATTAAATCTGCTTAGAAGCAGAATATTTTAATAAAAATGCTAGTAATTTCAGTTTCCAGTTCATGACATGAAACAAATTACATATCTGGAAAAACATGAAAATGTTTGCAGATAAGCCCTCATAACTGCAGTATTTTAGAATTGTATTTTGTGCTAGTTGACAGGTACATTTAAACTGGTAAGTTGGAAAAAGAAAACACATTGAGTCTTCTCAGAGTACTTTCGCTGTGGTACTTTGCTATATATTCTGTGTTGAGTAAGGGCATGATGTTGGGAAATGGTGTTAGTAAGAAATTACATTCATAGGCTGAGTTCCCAGACTTCAGCTGCTTTAAAATGACTTGCCTTCAAATAAACAGTTCTGTCTATAACTGTGATTTTTCTTAATTTTTCAGAAGTTCAAGGAAGGGAAACATTGATCCTAAAAAAACCTAGTTAGCTGTTATTTTTCCTTTTCGTTTGATGTGTGATTTGAAATAATGTGTACTGATGGTTGGTGAAATTTCAATATAGTGCAGAAAGGGAGGAAAATGAACCCATGTCCACTCCTAGCAAATTGTTTTTACAGCAAGTGGCAGTAACCAATTGTGGTAGTATCTGAAGTGTTCTTGGCAGAGTCCAAGTCTCACATTGTAGATTTTTTTTTTTTTCATTTTTTGTTTGTTTGTTGGTTTGTTTGTTTTGAGGTGTTTTTTTGGTCCCTCTAATATTCCAAGACGATGAATAGGCCAGAGAACTGCATCTTTTTAGACTCATAGGATTCTTCTATTCCTGGGCTGGGCCTGAGTGGCAGTTTGCTTGGGATCTGCAGCCTGTCTTTCCAAGCCTAACTTTTGTCCATCATGTACAACTCTTTTTCTGTGGTCAACAGTGGCGTTAGGAAGGACTTCCTGAATTAAAACTACTTTTTAAATAACAGATTAAGTAGTTATCTGGAAAATTTTAGAAATGGTTGAACCACATAAATGTGTGTTTCTTCAGGTTTGACTTTCCTCACATAGAGTGAAAGGTTCTTTAGATTCCTGCATCTGATTCATGTTCAGCTATCCCTGTAGACTGGTTCTGATATGTGGCTTTCCCTTCATTCAGTGATGAATTTCTTCATTTCATCTCCAGATTCCCTATTTGGTAAAGCCATACATGGAATTCTGCAAGCAGATACAGGATTCTTAATGATAATTGCTTTACTTCTTTTCAAATGTTTTACTTTAGACAGTTGATTTAAATATCTTATGTGTGTTTCCTGTTTGTTCTTCCTATTTTACATTACAAGAATAAGGTATTCATATTTTGCCTTATAGGAATTTCTTACAGTGAATGTAGTCACCTAATAGCTCAGTGATAGAACAGCTTTTCTTTAAGCACATTTACTTGAAATACTCATTTGGTTACAACATAGCAGGGTTTTGTACATCACTGAGCAGAACAATCAGAACATGCTGTAATATCATGCAGGTAATAGCCATGTTTGGAAGCAGTGACACATATGACTGTGGTTTCTTATGCATATGACTGTTCCACTGGCCTTTGTAAAATTGTTTCTGGTTGGGTGTTTTTTCCTACTTTTTGATTTAGTTCATAGACTGGCTAAGATTAGAAGGGACCATAGTTGTTAAAAAAATCGGTTTACTTAGCTTCTGAAGTCCTCTAGCAGATGTTGTTTGCTGTCATCTATCTAAAAAGTGAAATTCTAGTAAAATAAAGCCAACGAGTAACAATCACTCTTAAGATGCTTCTTTCAGACATTCTTCACATGGGGCCTTCACATGTGCAGTATATGTCTGACTTGTACATTGGTCTTCTGATATTTGCTGTGATTTTGGTTGGGCTGTTACTGCATATGTGAAGTTTTTATCATATTTACCTTTGATAGGTATAGAGATTCGTATAACTGTTCCCTCTGAGTCTGTATATAGTGTTTGTTATATAGCTGGAGCTCCTCTCCTGTGAAGACAGGTTGGAAGAGGTGAGCTTGTTCAGCCTGAAGAAGGGAATGCTCCAGGGAGACTTCAGAGCACATTTTAGTACCTCAAGGGGACTTAAAAGGAGGCTGGAGAGGGACATTTTACAAGGGCATGTAACAACAGGACAAGAGGGAACAGTTTTAAACTGAATGAGGGAAGGTTTAAGGAAGAAACTCCCTGCTCTGAGGTACCTCAAGGGGACTTAAAAGGAGGCTGGAGAGGGACATTTTACAAGGGCATATAACAACAGGACAAGAGGGAACAGTTTTAAACTGAATGAGGGAAGGTTTAGATTAGGTTTAAGGGAGAAACTCCCTGCTCTGAAAGTGGAAAGGCACTGGAACAGACTGCCCAGAGAAGTCATGGATTCCCCATCCCTGGAAGTGTTAAAGGCCAGGCTGGATGGAGCTTTGAGCAAACAGGTACTGAGACAACACTGACCTTGAACCGACATGGAAATGTTTGGGTTTTTAGCCCATTTTTTTGAGTCTGCAGAGAAAGAAAAGGCTAAAATTCAGGAATAGTGTAGTTATTGGAAGAGAAAAACATTACAAAAAATTGAAAACAAATATCCTTTTATTCCTTCTTTCTCAGTCTCCTAGGTCTTAACTTATAGTTGGAGAGTTCACATTTTTAAGACTATCCTCGCTATTAATCTAAAAAAAGACTGGTTTTTTTTCAAGTTTTCCATCCGCTGAAAATGCAATAACAACTGAATTTAACTAATTTATACTTAAAAATTAGATTAATTTGTCTTGTGAAATAAGTGCTTGTTCTGCAATATCTGTTGCTGATGCTGTGAAAGAGTATTAGTTTATAAGTTGGAAATTATTGCTATAGATAACAGTACACATTCCTAGACTTGTGTGCTAGGAACTACATATGTAAGTGTAACTCTGGATTTCTCATATTTGAATTAGTTTGTTTAGTTAAAGAATGTTTATGCTTGCTGAGTGCATTTGATTGTTGTTCATAAAATTTATACTGCTGTAAAAGAGTCTTCCTGGTATTTTCTTGGCTGTGGCCTCTGCTGAGCTTTAACATGTTCAGGATCTGTGCAGCTGCTGCGCCAGCTCTGACCTGAATTAAATTTGTGAAACAAGTTTTGCATCTGGTAACATTTAGAACTCTGTCTCGTTGTGAATGGTTATGTAGATATAAGTGACTTCTGCCAATTTGATGGGACCCTGAGCATGTTCAAAAGAAGATGCAGGCACGCACTTCCCTGGATTTTGGCTTTCATCTACTGTATATTTCTATTAAATAGTGTAAAATACACTTCTGCCTGAAGTGGCAAATGTTAACTTTTCCCTTTTTAGTAAAGGTACCCTATTTCCATTTTGTGTACTTCAAAAGCTGTATGTATAGTCCCGTTCAGTGTTTTATTTGTATAGTGAATTTCCACTAATATTTGTTTGTCTGCACACAGTAGTAGAGGACAAAGATTTTTGCAGGTTGCTTTTCAACATTTTTTCCTAATGTTACAGATATGTCTAGGTGCATTTGGAGTTTTGTAGCTTGAATTTTTTTTCCTGCTTTTTGTTAATTGCCTAGTTGACTGTGGGCTACTATATCCTGTAAAAATGAAGGAAGACAATGGAACAACTATTTTTGGTGTGCCCAGTGCATGCCCTAAGTAGAAGACTTGCCGTGTTGTTTATTGACTGTTAGTGTGCATTCTAATTTGTGTTTCCTGGCAGTGTTGTTTGTGTTGGTGGGGACGGCATGTTCAGTGAAGTGATGCATGGTCTCATTGGAAGAATGCAGAAGGACTCTGGCATAGACCAAAATAATCCCAAAGCATCGTTAGTCCAGTGCAATATAAGGATTGGCATAATTCCTGCTGGTAAGAAAGGGCTGACTTTCAGTTTAATTTATTCATTCATTCTTGAAATTTTTTCCTCATTCATAACTTGATGAATTTAGGCCTAAGTGTAAGATCTGAGCAGTGATATTCTATCAAGACACCTAACTAAAGCTGTTTGTATCCATATAACATTTTTGATCACATGCAATTTTATTTAGGAAGAATATTTTGTAAGGGAAATCAAATTTTAATGCATAACTTCAGAATTTAATAACTATTTTTTCTTTTGTGTCTTACTGTGTGGTAATATGAAATAAGATGTTGACAATAATACCCTTCTAAATGCATTAAGAAGTGGAATTTACTAAACAGAAATTTACCTGATAAATATTTTTCCAGTTCCAAATCCACTAACTTAGTTAGAATTATAATGAGAACTTTCTGCTAGTCTGGCAAACTCCAAACAAATGCTAAGATTCTTGGACTCTCTTTTCTTCCATTTGTTCTTGCAGCAAGTACAGGGCATCTACAGCATTTCACCCTCTTTTTTCAGGCAGTCCTGATTGCTGTAATTTGAGAGAACTCATTCTTCAAACTGAGGTCTTTCTTGATATGATTATTGTCATTATTATTGAGCATAAAGACATTCTTTGGATCAGTCTAACTGTTTTCAATCTGGTGTCCCAGCTGTTACCTCATCCTGCCCGTTTGGTCCTTGAAGATTCCTTCAAAAGCAGATTAACAAATTTGCTTTCTCTTACAGGACTGAATTACGTGTTGTAACTCTCTAATAGAATCAGTAATTTTGAGGTCTCTCTAGGAATACAAGGAGACAGTCCAGTATCCTTTCTATGCTGTTTGCTTTTCTTGTCTGATGCCTGAGCTTTGAATTAAAGAACTGGGCATGAAATAAACATTGTGAGCTTCTGGTTAGAATTAAAATAAAGGCTTCTGAGAAAATTTAGTTCAGGTTGTAAAACTGTACCAAGTGAAGTACAACGTTTGTGCTCTCAAACTGTGGGTGACTAATTTTATATTCCTTTCGTCTTTTTGAAAAATGTATTCAGACGCAAATATTCTGAATTGTTGCTTGCAAGAAGCTTAACCTTTTCTGCTTGTAGTATAATAAATGTTTGGTATATAAAAGTTACAATGTGAATATCCCCTGATGGTTTTTCACCCTCCTATTATATTTAAGTATATTCTGATTTTATTTGTTAAAGCTTTGTATTAAAGTTGGTATGTATAATGAACTTCACAAGAATAGAACTCAAAGTGTTCTTCTTCTCCTCCTTTTTCGTACTTGTACAAATTTCTTGAACTAAAGGTTTTTTGCTTGCATTACTGGTTTCAGAAGATTTTGCCTACTGATGATATGTGACCATAAGAAGATACAATTGAAAAACCAGAACCTCAATATATATTAAGAGCTATTTCTTTGTCCTCAGGAAAGATTAACCTTGCTTTTTCAGCATTATCTTAATGCATTTTTTCATTGGGTACATTACTTTTGCTCCCATAAAGTATGATCTTCATTGACATTTTAATTTTGTTAGCATGTATCAAGTCACTTCTCTTACATATTTTGTATTGTTTGTTGTGTTTTGTCCACTGTATCCTTTTGCTATTTGAATATATACTGTATGTTCTATTCCTAGAACTGGCATGAGGTACAGCCTTGTAATGAGTGCTGTAGTTCCAATATTTTCTCCAAGTCATTATTCATATCCCTCAAAAATTTTTATAATGATGTGTAAGGCCTTCAAGTTCTGTTGATTAAGTGTTTGGAAATAGAGAGGATAATATATATATTGATCTGTTTGTCTGTTGTATGGTATTTAAAATCATCCATTACTGTATATATGGGAAAGTACTTATTTATTGAAAAAGGTAGTCAAGTCACTGAACAAATCTTGACACATCTATACAGTGACCTTAAATTGAGTATGAAATAGCATAACCCTCCTTTAAGGCAGCAAGATTTGGAGTTTTTTTCTGGTTTGTATTTTTCCAGCCCATGGTGAAGCTGTTCTCTATTAATCTTTGCTTGATATGATGGATTTCTAGGCATGTATTGACCCCAACAGATACTCTAGCTCTATCACTAGTACAAGAAGTCTGTTCCAAAAAGAAGTTAAATTCTTAAGACCTTTTAAAAAACAAAAACAAAAAAAAACCAACTAAATGAATAGTCCTGAAATGCAAGTCAAAAGTAATAATGAAATACTAATCATACATCTAAAAAACTTCATCCACTGTGTTCTACTTCTATAACCAACCTTTTGTAAAATATCCTAGATTCTTAAGACCTTTTTTAAAAAAAAAACAAAACAAAACCAACTAAATGAATAGTCCTGAAATGCAAGTCAAAAGTAATAATGAAATACTAATCATACATCTAAAAAACTTCATCCACTATGTTCTACTTCTTTATAACCAACCTTTTGTAAAATATCCTAGGAACTCATTAATAGATGTTGAAAACAAAGACTACCCATAGTTTAGAGATAAAGATCTAAAGCTCTGGGTGTCTTCTGATTGATAGAGATGGTTTACTCAGTGATGACAGGAGCCTGGGGTATGGTGACAGTGGATCAGTGTTTTCGCCTTTTTTATCACTTAGTTCCTGATACCATTGTGTTAAGAAAAATGTGGCAGGTTGTGGTTGGATTAAACAGTTTCTGTATTCAAACAAACACTAAATTCGGCAGATAGTCTTTGCTCAGATACTGACAGTTTAATTGTACAAAGGTTCAAAATTACAAATGAAAGAGATTTAATGCTAAAACACTCATCTAAATGATTGCGTTTCATTGATAAGCTTTATTTCATAGCAGAATTCCATTGTGCAGGCTCTTTTTTTTGAATGTTGAATACTATTTGTACATCATGATTGACTTTCTGGAGCAATTCCCTGCTTGGCTCTTTTTTTTTCCCTTGAACAGTTGTGTCAGTTTCCCAACAGTCTCTTTCCTTAGTGTATCTTATTGTTTAAAAATATAATTTATTCTTATATATTATGTAATATTTTTATTAAATAATTTGTGGTTTTGTTGACCTGCATAAAAGACTTCTATTCAAATGGCAGTTTTATCTTCTGAATTTCTCTTAGTTGCAGCCATTCTTCAAATCTGCCAGTGGAAATTGAATGTTTGCCATAGTAAATGGATTTGCTGTTAAGAGTACTTAGAAGCTGTACTGTATTTCTGAAAACCTCTGTTTAGTTATTTTTTCCTCTAGGCCTTAAAAGCTAGTTATTTCTTATTAGCCTTAAAAGCACTTTCAGCCGTGTGGTCTCACTGCATTCAGACTAGTAATATGTGTCCATAGAATTAAAAACAGAGAATGATTCCTGATATAGCTTGGACACTGAGGTTTCATCCACGTGTTTTGGTATTAAAATTGCACCCTCTGGAGTAAGCCAAATAATTTGCTGTTCTTATTGCATAGAATAGAATGCTGTTCCTGGCATAGAATAGGAGGACAAAGCTGTCAACTGCTGTTCTTTTTTTAGTTTAAAAGAACTTAATCAATTAAGTATTCTTGATGATCTATGCAGATAGGAAAAAAAAACACTTCGTGTTGTTGTACTGTGTTGTACTGCATTCATTGCAAAAATCAAGTCTGCAACCCACTGTGGGGGAAAATCTAAGCCCTTGGGACTATTGAATAAAGTATAGACAGAAAGTTAATAGCTGTATTGATTTTAGGCTGCTAGTGTATCCAGATCGCTGGGTTCTGGTGGTCAGCTCTGTAATGTTTAGGATTGAAGGATGCAGTATGATTATAATCAGAATGTTGATGTGTCACTGTAAAAGTTAAGAATGCCAAAGACAGTACAGGCTTCCTGTATGAATGTAATACAGGAAAAAGATGGAGGATTCATTCACAAACTTCAGAAACATCGAGTGTGTGACTGGACTCATATCGCTGCCATTTAGAGTGTAAAAATTATCTTTAAAATGTGTTAAAGCATACCAATAAAAGCGATCTTTCTTGTATGATTACTCCAAGTGATCTGTTCTCAGCCTTCTCAGCTACAAAGCTTGTAATATTTAATGATCTTTGCCATTTAGTTAACATCTCATTTCAAAGTTCACTATATCCACTTTGAAATCTGAAGTGCATGTTTTATGCTCCTCCTTCAGTACTTTAAATCCATTAAACTTCTTGAAATTACAGTGTTAGGGCTAAATACTGCATTTAATATAGTGGGCCTGCCATGGAGACAAGTAAGTCAATATTACTTACTCCTGTGATGTTAATTTCATCTCTAAAATATGCCATTATTAGATTAAACCTTCTTTGTTGTCTTGTGTTACTGAGCTTAAGCGGAAGTAATTATCTACCAAAAAATCCTACACCAAAGTCTTTCTGGACTGTTTCTCTTTAAGCCAGTCTGTTGTTCTGCAGATGAAACTTGACTTCTTGGTTTCTCTATGTGTAAAGGAAGATACACAAAACTTTGAGTAGGTACATGGGTGTAAGCCCAGACCCTTCATCTCTCCCTGTAGCAGTAGCTTGTCCCCTTACTTTTGAATGTGCCAACTCCTTCTCATTTAGGAAGCACTTCTCAGAAAAGTAGTTTTGTAGAATTTTTCAAAATATTAAATGCTGTTTGATCCAAAAACATGCAGTTACTGTCTTTAGGGTAGCTTACCTGACAGTTCTTCTGTGTGATGACTGCATGGATTATGATTCACAAAAATTCTGCACAAAATGAGACCCCCACTGAAGTTGCTATTCTACCTTTTTTCAATACAAATACTGTTCTTATACTGATTTGTCTGAGGATTCTTTAGGTGCCATGGCAGCATCTGCCTCTGTCAAGAGTATCTCACATAGAGCAATTCTCATGAGCTCTAAAAGTATTTTTATTTCATTATTAAATTCACTGTTTTCCATAGGACCACCATCTAGCTGACTAGCTTCTGTCACCTGCTTAGTTTCATACTTCAGTTGCATTTAATTTGTTTAGTTTTCCATCAATAAAAGCACAAAAATAAATATTTGTACCCCACACCATGTGTGTGTTTTAGTTTAGTTTACCTAATTTGTAAGTTAGTAGTCTTATCATGGTTCAGATTATTAAGTCTAGCACTTTGGCTGTCTGTTGTTGGTCCACCAGTCAATGGTATGAACTCTTCCATGCAACCAGCAAATTACCTGATTTTTGCTTAACCAGTTTGGTGTTTCTGTTACCAATTTAAACTTGTGAAGTGGTGTCTGAGTGTACCTGTCTGCATGACTTGTCTACTCACAAATATCTAGCAATGTTCACATGCGAAGGGGAAATCTGGTGATCTACCTGTAGTTCATGCTGTGTAATGCAGTCCCTCACTTTGCTTTTTTTAATATTGCTTTAACAAAATTTACTTATGCAGAGTGCGTGCTCATCCATACTTCAGTAAATATCTTGATAATTCTTCCTTGTGACCAATTAATTAAAAAGGATTTCCTTAATTTTTATGTCATCAAATGTATTTATATAAAATATTGCATTTTTCATACTTGTGGAGGAAAAGAACATAGAAGAACTTGCCTGTATAACAACCATGTAACTGTATGAGACCTCCTAATGAAAAACAGACTTCAAGGAAAGAGTGATGTATGGTAAAGATTCAAAGTAATTATACGTACTTTATCAAAGACAAGATTTGTGCCTTCTACATATTTCATGTTTTCTGTGAGTTCTTAATATCAAGATATCTGGGATGAAAGCTTTCTTTAGCTGGGAGAATTCAGTATCTGCCTGTGGTATGGTGGTGTGGTGCCACCATCGTTGAGATGTACGCAAGATGATTGTAGCGCTAGAGTAGGACTTGGAGGACAAGCAGAATAATCTGCAGCACTGGTGGGCAGTGGCATTTTAGATGAAGGAATTAATATCCTTAAGGTGAGTTTCAGTTTGAAACTGACGCTCAAATTTTCATGCTTACCTTTGGTGTCTGCAAGAGAGATGGGCATCTGTACTTGCAGGAGGGGTTGTCTGGTCAATAGGATCAGCAGAGCCTGTTGAACTTCTGTTGCATCTGCTTGTCCCATGCAGATGTCCTGCTTCCCAAGGCCTGTGTGTGAGTACCTTGACTCAAGCTGAAGCTGCCATCAGCTATTCCTGACAAGATCTCCTTGACCAGAGCAGAAGCTTTGGCATATTGTCTGCAGTGTAACATGCACACATATAGCTGTGTGTGTCTTAACCTGAAAATTAATCATTGCTTTGCATGCTGATTTTCTTCTCTACCAACAAACCAGTGCAATAATTAGTTTCTATACTGAATATGTTTCTGTCCTTTTTTGAAAGTGAATTAGGACCCAGTTAGTCCAACTACTTTCTTCACATTTGCATGTAGTTCTCTGCGACCCTCTTTTATGTTCGTTCACTCAGGCTGTTGCCCTTAAAAATCCCCAAAGAAAATCTGGCAGAGTATGTATATAATTTTTCTGTTGGTTTAGCCAGAGTGTACAATACCCACCACTTAACATTAGTCAAGAGTTATGCTCTATGGGAAGCTTCTTGCCCAAACTAAGTGCTCTGGCAATCCTAAGATATTAATCATGGGATATTATTCAAGCTATATTTACATTCTAATCCTGCTTTTCACATTAGACTTATAATGATGAAATAACCCAGATTTTGGTGGGTTTGTGTGTCCATCTGTTCAGAATGTTGTGTCAGCAGTTGTAGATTCCACATCTAGTGAAGATCGACCTAAAGATCTAGAAGCCTTGTTTGGTTAAGTATTAAAAAGAATTCAAACCCTTAGTCATCATGAACATTTTTGTGACCTTTAAACAAGTACTGTTAGGTTCATGCTCAGTGTGGTGCTATGGCAAGCTACATTCATATGTGTGAAATGCCACAGTAGTTACATCCATGTAAATAGGTCACTGGTTTTGTTGCTCCATACTACCAGCTCCAAGAGGAAAAAAACAACAGTATTTTACTGGTTGGTATGTCTCCCATTTTAGAATCTCAGAATTAATTTCAGACTTCAGTTGTAATTTTAGCCCTTCCTTACTAGTTAATGAATAGAAATGTAAATAAGTTCTGTGTAATTGCCAAACAGACGAATCAGCTTTTAATTGAATATAGAAAATCACAGGGAGATGGGCGTCTGGTTGAAAAGTAGCTTGCATGAATTCCCCTCTTCTTCTCTCATCTGTAGTGTAAAACCACTTGGAAGCTCTGTTTGCATCAAGACAAATGTAATTGAGGTAATTGTAGGAGCAGAATGCATACAGATGTGGAAGAAATGAGAAATGTTGGATGAAGTGTTAGGCTTGTACATTCAGCAATAGAAGTTTTAGGTCAGATATCTCAGTGATTGTTTTTCTTTTCAAAAGTAGTCAGAATTTTCTGTTCATGAGCACAGGAGACAATCTGAAACTTGTCAGTAAAGTATAGCTTCAGCTTTAGAAGTCCACTAAAGATCTTCTTTTATAGAACTTTAAATGTGACATGAGATCATCATCTGTGTACCTCATCGGTTGTGATACTGAGGGAAATTTGAGTCCTCTGTCCTGCAGTGGCATATGTCTGTAATGGTACACTGACACTGTCTCTTGAGCCTCAGCCTTGTAGTGAGAGGTCTGTTTAGTCACACTGTTCTTTTGTCCTGCAGTTCTGTTATATTCTCTTTAACTGGCTCCTGGAGCTGCTGCTTGTTCACTGTGGTAGATTTCTGCATAACATTTACTTGGTAAAAGTTTCTGTCCTGCCATTCACAGGCAGGGGAAGTGGTGCCAATCTCCTGAAAAGGAAATTATTTTCTTTGCTCCCGTTATTAATTGCTAATGCCCTGACTATTTCCAAAATGAAAAAGAACTAAAAGTGGTTTTTAGATAATGGTTGCTCATTCCTCCATTATTAGTTTCTGTTTCAATTTGATAAGGCCTCAGAAATCGAGTACACTGTATTTGAGCTGCTCCTCCTAATGTACTGGTAGGAAATGTGAGAACACGTATGTGGACAAAGTTTATCTTTTCACACATCTACTTTGACTTTGAAGGAATTCAGTTACATGGAAAGGATGGGAGAAACTGTAAGATAAATTGGGAGTGTTGCAACAAATACACTTCTGTATGTCTGGATCTGAGTTCCAAGTCCCTGCTGCAGAGCAGAAACCAGATCCCTATGTTAGGCTCTTGTTTTCTATAGGAAACAGGGGGAGTTGTCTATTTCTAAACAGCATCTAGATGAAACCTAAAGCTTCCCACTTTCTTCTTGTACATATTTTGCAGCAAGTCTGTGAAGGTACATCTGTGTCCATTTTGTTACCCTATCTAGAAACTAATTCCTGAAAGCAAGTATTTTTACTAATTTTCAAATAATAGAACAGAGTAGAAGTTTCTGCTATAAGATGACATCCTGAAATTTAGATCAGTACCACAAAAAAACAGCAGCCCAGTTGATTTGTCTTCTTTTCATGAGATCTCAATGAGCAAGAAATCATAAACAAAGGTGAATCAATGTATGCCTGCCTTATTTGATATAAAAGCTATAATGTAATAGTGAAATTTTCCGTGTAAATTAACTTACTTCCCTTCATAACTGCTACATATTTATTACTTATATTGTGAATTTTTTGTACTTTGTATGGAGAACAATAACTTTACTCATGGGCAGGGTGGGATGATATAGTTTAAATAATAAAAATAATAATACATATTTACTTTGTTCCATAAAATATAAAGGAGCAAACCAAAGGACCATAATGCTTTTGTTTGGAGGACTGTGCCAATAATACTTGTTTTGCAAAGATAGAACTTGATGCCTAGTTTTTTGTTTTTCAGGATCAACAGATTGCATATGCTATTCAACTGTTGGCATTTCTGATCCAGTAACTTCAGCTCTTCATATTATTGTAGGTGGGTGGTCGCAGTTTGCTGTGTTGTTACAGGAATGATGGAAGTAGCCCAAAATACTGTTTTCATTTAGTTCTTTCTTTAAAATGTAATTTGAACATAATGGCTGAGTTGAAATACAGAGTTTTTTTCTGGGATTTAAGTCTCTGATTTGAAATATAAGAGGCTGAAAACTAATTGCCTTTTCTGCAGTAATTCATTGTTTTCAAGGGATCATAATATTTCAAAAATGTTGTGCTAAAGTTTTCATTAATTCTGTCATTGTTTTGAAAGTAGTAAAATGCAATTGTTGTTGGACTATATCTGTCTACATATGCATATCTCCATCAGTTGTTGGACTATATCTCTATGTATATGTATATCTATCTTAGAGAAAGTTTTGAGGAATGCATGTACACTTGAATGGTACTATTTTGTGCCAGTTGTCCAATTGTCCTGGATAATTCAGTATTCCTTTGCCAAGTTAGAATCACGATACCTTCTGGTATCATTACTGAGTAACAGCTGTGGTTTTAGGGTCTGGTGTTGCAAAGATTTACACATGTGCTTCTCTTACTAATCTATGATTTACTCAGCATCTGTGCAGTTAAAGCCTTTGGACTAGGATTGGAAAGATGTGGCTTTACTATATCATAGTATTTTAGCTGTGTTTTTAAGTCCCAGAATCACAGAATGGGTCAGGTTGGAAGGCACCACAGTGGATCATCTGGTCCAACCTCCCTGTGAAACAGAAAAAACTCCAAACACCAAAATACCAAATGAAGTAAAAAATCCCACCCCCACGACTCCCACCATCACTCCAAAGTTTGCATGAGGAGGACATCAGAGAAGTGGTGTATTCTTTGTTGTTAGGGATTTCCAGGACTTGACTGGATAAGCCCTGAGTAACCTGATGGGACCCCAAGCTGAACCTCGTTTGGTTGGAAGGTTTGATGAGAAACCTCCAAAGACTCCTTCCAGCTTGAATTATCTTCTGATAGTATGACACAGAGGTTTAAGTAGTACCCAGGAGCTGTACAGGAGATATGGCATCAATCTGCTTAGGGAAAGGGGCTGTCAAGCATTGACACAGAGTGCCAGTACTTAAAGGTATGTAGATGTGGCACTTAGGGACATGGTTTAATAGTGGCTGGGTTAATATTTGGACTTGATGATCCCAAAGGCCTTTTCCAATCTGAATAGTTTTTCAACTCTGTCCCCTTCTACTGCTACAGGGTGAAGGACTGTAAATTCTTCATTACATGTTTTTAGCATACTGAGCCCTTTCTTCTTATTGCTTAATGCCTTTAAAGTATGAAATTAAATTAGTATTAAAAATTATATTTCCTTTCTTTATGTGTAAGAAGTATATGCATTTATGACATATATATTAACACAAATGCAATATGTATTTTTTATTTTTAATGACTTGGCAGTGTTAAAGTTACTATGATGCTTGCAGCTGCAAATAAATAAGGCTTGACAGACCCTTGCACTTCTAATCTTCATAGGTGACTGTCAGCCTCTGGATGTCTCTTCTGTACATCACAACAACACATTTTTGAAATACTCTGTGTCATTGCTGGGTTATGGTTTTTATGGAGATATATTAAAAGACAGTGAGAAGAAGCGGTGGATGGGTCCAATGAGATATGACTACTCAGGTAATTTTTTTAATTACTACATTATTTTGTTAGCATGTAAGCATATTGGGGCTGTTGGTTTATTCTCTCCAAACCAGTCTTCTTCCAAGCTTGTAAACATCAGAAACAGACTGAGCCTGATTTTAAACTCCTTGTAGTACCACATATATTGGATTACATTATATAAAGCTCTGTAACTTTAGGGTTAACATGGCGAGTGGGCTCAATAAAGTTGTGTTGAATATGTGCCACCTATTGAAAATGGCCTAAAAAGTAATAACTTCTCTGTCCTAATCATTTTGAATTTCTTTTTAGTCACTTAAAGAGAGAGATAGGCACTCTTCCATCTTGAACATTCAGTTGATGGAATGAATTGTTAACTTTACACTTATATAGAGAGATGAGTGATTTAATCTTGTTACCTAATATTTGGATAAATCCTATGCTAGTGGAAAGTGTCTTTTGCATTGTTTGATTTATCTTGTGTTAGGGAAAGAAAATGTATGAGGAGAATTTTAGTGCATTTTTAGTGCAAATTTTAAGATCCAGCAGTGATATATAACTAAATATTTTAGTTGGTTTTTAAAGCTGTCAAGTGAAATAATGGCACTTCTGACAAATGTTAAAACATTGGAGTGGTGCTGTGGTATTTCCTTGTTCCTTACAGTCTAAAACATTGTAAGAAAAGGACTTCTGAGCTTGAGGAGGGCTACTATTGTTTTGCAGTCCTTAGAGAAGGAAGAGATGAAAAATCAAAGAATGTCTGCAGAGATGTTTGCCATGTGGATTTATAATGACTTAATGCTGCATAATGCCATTTTTTATGTAGGCTTCAAGACTTTTCTTTCTCATCACTATTATGAAGGAACAATTGCTTATCAACCAGCAGAACACACACATGGATCTCCCCGAGATAAAGAGAGCTGCAGAACGGGGTAGGCTAATGTTTATCTCTGGATATTTGGTGTGAACTATTTAAAAAGCCCTGTACATAAATAGAGGTTACAGAACTGTTGGTTTTTATATCAAAACACTTACTCTAAAAGAGATAAGCTTGTAAAAACAATTATTGACTCATTAAAAAGAACACCTCATTTTATCAGATCATTAAACAAAAATCTAATAAAATTTTGTTAGCTGGTTCTCCTCCTCCCTCAGTTTTAAGTGAAGCACAGTATAACAGTACGGGACCAGTTACAAGATGCTGAGGACACTATGCTGTGTTCCTACTAAGAAATCAAAAATCTGGATGCCTTGTAGCTTCTACAAATGGAAATAATAATTCAGAAATTCTCAAGTGTTCACATCCTAACTGCACCTAGAAATTTTAGTGGTTGTTTTAGTGCCATAACAACAGCTGGGCATGGCTTCTCCGTAGGACAAGTCCTCTCAGGAGTCAGCCTGTTTAGCCTGTTTGTTTGTATACTACTGTGATGCTGTATGAATTCTGTGTGATATTCTTTCTTCACTTGTTTCTTTAGTCAGGGGGCCAGCCTTAATCTCCCAGTGCTCCTTCCTTTCTCTTTGCTTTCACCTGTTTGAAGTTTTGCACTAGTATTTATTATTCCTCTTTATATATGGATTTAGCTGTCAGACATAAAGTACTTGTCACAGCACCAAACAGCACAGCAGGATACAGAGAAGCCACAAACTTTGTCCAGAAACAATGAGACTGCTGTGCTAGTGCTGTGACACGCTGGAGATCAGACTCCAGTATCAGCTGGAGCAGCTTTTCTGACCCATCAGGTGCCCTGATGCAGGGGAGGCTCCAGAAGGAGAGAGCTGTCATCCAGGTCTCAGGAATGGAGTAAGGAATGCCTGGTGCCTCACAGGGGATTTTTTACTTCTTGATCACTGCTGGAAGGGCAGCAGGGCCAGGCACAAGAAATTTAGGAGAATCCTGGCATGTGGTAATGAGATTGATCATGCAGGTGATTGACAGGTTGGCTAGAACAACTGCTCTGCCATGGTATGGATGCAGTGGTTGAGGACAGTTTTGGCAGTGGTGACTGAGATTATAGAGTTTTAACATCTGAGAGAAGTAAATGAGACAAAAAGTAGAATTGCAGCCTTTGACTTTAGTTTGGTGTATTTGGGTGTCTTGGCAAGATTCTGTGGGATACTGTCCTGGAGTACAAAGAGGCATAGGAGAGTTAGTTGGTACCTCCTCAAAGTTCAAGAATAATCCATTCTGATACTCAGAAACTTGAATAACCAGGATAGAAAAGCAATTTGGATGAGCAAGCAACTGAGGGTTACTTTGGAAGAGCACTAAAGACATTGCTTAAACATGCAGGAGTGAAATTGAGAAAGCCAAAGCTCAGGCAGAGTTGAAATCAGTGAGGGATGTGAAGGATTTTGCTTTTATGAAGGGGTTATTTAAATATACTGGTCATAACTAAAGGCTGAAGGAACTGTGGGCTGAAGGAACTTGCTGCTTAGTGGCATGGGGAGCCATAGTGATAAGATATATCGAAAAGGCTGCAAAGTTACTCCTTTACCCCATTTTTCACTAATGTAGGTTCAACCCAGGCCATACAGGTCCCCAGGCTCCTGCATGAAGGGGAAACAGTGGATGTTGCATACCTTGACTTTAGCAAGACCTTTGGTCCTGTTTGCTGTAGTATTCTTAAAACTAAGTTGATGAGGTGTGGACTAGGTAAGTGGGTGGGTGTGAAACTGGCTGGACTGCTGGAAAAGTTGTGAATGCCAAGTCTGCCTGGCAGCCAATTAGTAGTGATGTTCCTTGGGAATATTGGGCCTAATACTGTGCAATGTCCTTATTAATGACTGGCAGAGTCTCAGAAAGTGTGTTCTCAGCAGTTTTATGGATGATACCAGATTGGGAGGTGTGGTTTATCTTGAAAGTCAGGGCTGCTGTTCAGAAAGATCTTTGTGGGCTGAAGAAAAAAATGGCTGATAGGAATCTCCTGAAGTTCAGGAGATGTAGATGTCCTGTACCTGGGGTGGAATTCTCCCATGCAAGTGTGTACACTGGGCATTGACTGGATGGAAGGCAGCTCTACCAAAAATATCTTCAGGATCCTGGTGAGCAACAGCTGTACCTGAGTTAGCAGTATGTCCTTGCTAGAAGGAAAGCCTACCTTGTATTGAGTTTTCTAAGCAGGAGGGAAGTCAACAGGAGTGATTCTTCCCCTGCACTCAGTGCTTGTGAGATGGAGTGTCTCCAGTATCTCAGTGTCTTTCACTGTTGGAGCAGTCCAGTGTTGGAACAAGGTGCCCAGAGGTCTGTGGACTTTACCCTCACAGATCCTCAAAACTTGACTACCCTGATCCTGTAAGACCAACTTTGAGCTCTCCTGTGAGACCACCTTTGATCACATCAGAGATCCCTTTCAACCTGTGTGATCTTGTGGCTCTCTGCTGCTTTTACCTCTGACATCCAGTAATCTTTAGAACTGTACTTAAATAACTGCACTGCCTGCAGGGCTATGATTATTCATGCCACATGAGGCTTGTCAGTGCTGTGGTGGATCTTGTGGTGGGGGAAGATCTTGTAATGACTGGGTAAAATAAAGTTGAAATGAATAACAGTGGAAGTCTTTCAGGAATTGAATGGTATTTTTGTTTCCAGATGTTACATCTGCAAGCAAAGTGAGAAACAGCTGGCAGAACAGAGCAAGGAACATGGATTAAAACATGAAGGTAATTTATCAAAAAGTAAAATGTGATAGTATTACACAATTTATTTTTTTTTTCACAAGATAGCAGTTCAAGTGTGCATGTATTTTGGGTTTTTAAACACTGAGTTACTTGATAACCTATTGTCTCTTTCAGCTTACAGAAAACACATGTGTCATCGCTCCCCTGTACTCAGTGCTAGTGAGGCCACACCTTGAATCCTATGTTCAGTTTTGGGCCACTTGCTTTAAGAAGGACATTGAGGTGCTGGAGCATGTCCAGGGAAGGGTCTGGAGCACAAGTCCTGTGAAGAGCAGCTGAGGGGGCTGGGGGTGTTCAGCCTGGAGAAAAGGAGGCTCAGGAGAGACATCGTCACGGTCTACAACTGCCTGAAAGGAGGCTGCAGCCTTGTGGGGTTCTCTCTCTTCTTCCAGGTTATGAGGAAATTACCTCAAATTATGCCAGGGAAAGTTTAGTTTGGATATTACGAAAAATCTCTTAACAGAAAGGGTAGTCAAGCATTGGAAAAGGCTGACCATGGAAGTGCTGTCCTGGAAGGGTTCAGAAGACAAATGGATGTGGCACTTGGGCAGATACAGTTTAGTGGTGTTAATTTGGTATTTGGACTCTGATTTTAGAGGTCTTTTCCAAGCAAAATGATTCTATGGTGCTATGATTCTAAGTAGGTGAAATATGTGTAAGGTGTCCAAACCTCAGAAAATTCTGATAAAATTATACTAATTGTATATTTCAGTGTGTTCAGTTTCTTTAAGAAAAATAATATTCTGTGAGCTAGGACTTTGGGTTTTTGTGAAAAGGACTGAATGGACAAACTGTGAGGTGTCATAGAAGGAAACAGTTCATTAAGATAACTTTTAGAGTAAATCAGGATTAAAAATTTGTGTTTATTAGCAGAAATGTCACCCTACTATGAGGCTGTGAACTTGGACAATTAGTAGCTGATCTAGTAGACTTCAGTATTTCTGTACAACATTCCACCAATACTCACTATAAATGATAAATGAAATTTCTGTCCTCCTTTTCTAGTCATGCTATCATTATACTCTCTTTCATCCCCATTCTAAACCCTGTGTACACTTGTGTGGGTTTTTTTTTCTAATGGGCATAACTTTTCTTTCCTCTGGTTTAAAAAGTGCTAATGAATGCTCTTCAGTCATTCCCCTAGTTGTATCTCTTTATGTCTGGCTGCTACATCCTAGTGGGAAGAATTACTGATATTGCTACACTTGAGGCCTTCCTAGAGAAAGATAACATAGATTTACTTGAGTTTTGCCTCCAGCTTTGGTTCATCATCCTGGATAAACCCCTCTTAAAGAGCAGGCAGGCTTCTGTGGGTGCTTCTTTCTGCCTTTACTCTGTTTTTATTTCTTCATGTAGAGCTCAGTGCAAACAACACAATTGTAATTTTCTTGACGAGCATTTGGTCCTTATGACCTACATTATCTTACAATTGTAGTTTTTTTGCCCTGTGACTGTGCCAGGTTCTAGGCATTTGTTAGCAGAAAGATTATCATGCTGTGGAAGATTTCTGTGCAACTTGAGTTCCCATTACACTTGTTTAGTGCTTTCATCCTAGCTGCTGCTTTCAGATCTTTGATATAGTCAAGAGATGGTCAAATCAGAGTATTTCTTGGGTTATTTTAATCTATGGTCAGTTTCAGCTAAAGAAAATTTTTTTAGAGTATAAATAGTGCATAGAAATAGTAATATAAATATGACAGTAGATTTTTTATAAGAAAAAAATGTCAAATGATTATAGTCATAAATTGCCAACCTTTTTTCTTTTGTTTGTCGGGGGTTTTATGTGCATTTTTTCATGTTTGTGTGTGTTGTTTGGTTTTTTGTTGGCTGGTTTGATGGTTTGGTTTTTAAATCTGCTTTTTTGTTACCTTTCATCTAGCAAAGGAACTACTGGAAAGCTACAGGTTAGTTAGCAATCAAGACAGTTTTAGCCAACATTGCAGATGACATTAAGCAGCTGATTATGTAGAATATTGTTTACTTTATTCCATTATAGTAGATGGATTTCTGGTAGATGGCTTTCTTTGCGGTCTAGTCTCTTATCCATGCAGTACTGGTAAGGAAATAATACAATCAGCTACTTTTGATTCACTATAGAAAGGATTTTAAATCTCCACTTCAGATAAGCTTTTCACTCAGCAGGATGTCTTGGCTGACTCTTTCTTTGTGCCTACCAGGTTTGTGTGTAATTCAGATAAGTTTAGAAGGATGTTGAGTGGTTGTTGCTGAACATATTTCTTTGTATTGTGCAGGAGTCTCTGTGCATGTGCTGAGAAAATGTTGACTGTTAGCGCTTTATGCTGATTTCAGCAACTTGCAGTGTGTGCTCACAATAAACCACTGATGAGTGTCATTTATGCACTCCCTGCTTATGACTGCCCTACTGTAAGATATTTTGAGCAAATAATTTGTGCTGTTACAGTGATACACACTGCAAAATAGTTATGAAAGCATTTGTTCATTTAAAATGTGATTGTTACCCTGACTTCGTTCTTACTTTGAACAGTGAAGGTGTTCTTGGGTAACACGCTGAGATTTATACCAGATGAAAACCATCTATTACAGTAACATAAAGAAGCATTTTACCTTAAGCATACTTAAAATGTTAATACATATCTAGACACACTGATGACTAAATTACTAATGCTTCTCAGAGAAACAGAAAAGGAATTTATCAGTAAAGGGAGATGTTTGCGTTTTGTTGTTTGTGTATCAAAAATGCCTGTTGTTTCCAGTTCCAGTAGTTTATGTTCTGTTCAGTTACCTTCATTTCAGAGCAGGGTCTTGTCATTTGCCTGCAGCCTGAACAGTCATTCTATAGTCTGACATTTAGGTATGTCTCATCTCTCTTAAGATGCACATTTTCAATCTGATTTAAATTACTTCTTTTGGGAATGTCATGTTTGAAAGCAACACAAAAAGATCAGCAGTAAAGCGAGCAATACTAAAAAGCACTGTGGCAAATTAAGCAAAAATATTGAATTTAAAAGCCTTGGGGTTTTTTTGCTATTTCTGATTTGTCTCTCAGGAGGTAGAGGGGATAGTCTAGATGGAAAATTTATAATAAAGTTTTTCTTTTCTTTAAGTCTTTTGTCACATTATAAGCTTACATGGTTTTTCCTGGAAAACTGTTTTTCTTGTTCTGTTACTAGACAGTGGATAGTAAGAAGTTTCAATTGAATTACAGAAAACAAGATAAGTTCAAAGAATGAAGAACAGCTACAAAATACTTTTGAAACAATTTTTTTCTTTTTATTTTTTCTGATGTATAGAGCCTGGAACATGTAGATTCAAAGTGAATGCATCATAGACTTCATGTTCAAAATAACCTAGGCAATTGTAATAATGATTCTCTAAAGTAAATGTGAAGTTCCTAGAACTGAGACAGTAAGGAATATCAGAATTTCAGGACATGAAATATATAGCATAAACATCGTCTGTAATCCCATCAGAAAAGCCCCTTGAAAATCACTGTAAGTTAACCAAAATGTGGGGAACTGAATCATGTTAGATGTTCGAGTCCATACCAGTTAACATTCCTCAAAATCTCTACCTTGTATACATAAACAAATATAAGCATTTATTGTTCACTCCTTAATTTTACCCCTACTTCACTCTTCCCAGTCTTAGAACAACATGTATGTCCATAGTCTGTTTTCCACTCATTACTTCTGTGGAATTGTTCATGTGAAATTAGTCCACTTATATTGGTAGGAGAAAAATAGTGTTATGGCTGCCTTTTGGCTTTTTCTTATTGTAATAAAGTAGACAATTATGTGTAATCTAAAAATAAAAAAGTCATTTTACATATATTTTTATCCATGTTCAAGAAAATACAATTTGGGCAACAACTCTGCATTGTCTGCCTATGCTTCTTTGTTCTAGAAAATTCCTCTGCTTCCTGGTAGTATCAATGCCAGCACACATTTAATCTCAGTCTTCATGTAATCTCCAACAGAGTTTCAAAGTATTGAAAAGAGGCTTTGTGTTGTTTTCCAGAAATCTCTGAAGATTTGCACACAGGAACATTTAGCTCTGTTAATAGTTCTAATCTTGGGACTTTTGGGGCTAGAGTGGAAGCAGACTCCTGATATGCTGCCTGCTGGTCCTTGCTGCACCCTGAGTCATCCCTTCCCTTTGACTTTTTAACAACACGAAGTTGCTGCATTGAGGCAGAAGAGAAATACTGCTTCAGAAACCAAATACTAAACTACAGTCCTTGCATCATTGTTTATTTAAGATTAACAAGTTGAAAAGCAAAAATAGAATTTTAAAATTCTCTGAACTTTCACACTACAAGATTTGTAACTTGCCTGTCTTTTCCTTTCCTGTGGCTTTGCAGGTTTTCCCAAATAGCACTGATCCTGAATTTGATGTGCATAGGACAGAGCAGGCGAGCAATTGTGGGAGATAGTTGCATTCTCCCTTCTGACTGTGGCTTCCTCTGTTAGTGTATGAAAAACAGATACTTAAAAATATTATTTTTAAATGTAGTTTATTTTAGATATTTATTGACAGTACATTAATATGGCCAGGGAAGACTTCTAAGTTGCTATTGATTGCTTTTTAGTCTTCTTGTGAGTAGATCAAATGATTACCTATCTCCATGTCTTTACTGATGTGTTTCAGAAGGTGAAGAAGAATGGAAGGTTATAAAAGGGAAATTTCTAGCCATCAATGCAGTAAATATGAGCTGTGCATGTCCACGAAGTCCAAAAGGTCTTTCACCAGCAGCTCATTTGGCAGATGGTTCAGCAGACCTCATTCTAGTTCGGAAATGCTCCAGATTCGATTTTCTACGGTATCTTGTCAGACACACAAATCAAGATGATCAGGTGTGTATTCCTTTTGACAGTGTCCATCAAAGGTGTAAATATTGGTGTTCATATGGGACAGAAATAATATCTATAAAGCAGGTTTGTTTGTTTTTTTTTAAATTTATGAATTTTGTGTGATGCAATCTCAGCATGTGTATCATGGGGAAAAAAAGCAGCTCAAAACATTTTACTAAAGTCAACTCCTTGGCCGTAGCATTTTAACAAAATTCCACTTTTGCCATCTGAATTCAGTTTTGTAACATTTTCCGTGTATTTGCTGTTTGAACAATATTTAAAGTTATTTTATCACATCTGTGCCCTCATGTAGTTGTCATGAAAAACTGCTCACGGCATGAAAAACTACTCACAGCATGAATAGCTGAGGTAGATGTAGTGAAGAATAATAAATCACTTTTGAGAACTGTATGAAAATGTGGTTTAGAATTAAGTTACCAGAACTGCAATTTGATTGTAAACTGCAGGCTTTTAGTAGTATTTTACTAAATATTAGTGACCAGGATGAGCTGTATGCATTCAGCTTGAAAATTATTTCTTGCATGTGTTGTAGCTGTCAGGCAGGAAGATTCATCACTGCTTTGGATCATAACATCTCTTGAAACCGAGCTATGACTGTGACTACACATATTTAATATTTGTCACAACCTGATTTTATTAATATCTTCTGGAAATCACCTGAACAATGGGCTAATGTCATATCTAGTGCATAAAAGCAATGAAAAATTGCTTTTATCCCATTTCTCTCTGGGATGTGCTGGTTTTGCAGTGGAGGTTAAATGCAAGTTTGTACATATGTCCTTATGTCAGGTTAGTGTCCACCATAAAAAACTCTTCTTGGGAGGCCCTTCTTGAAAACTTAAGGAAATGTGGAAAAAAAAATAATAAAAGAGTGACTGTACATCACTGCAGATTGGTTTTCACATTTCCTCCCCTGTCATTCCCTTCCTGTAGACACACAGAGACATACTCCATGGCCTTTGCTAAATGACCTGTCTGTATTCCATACAGCTTGCTGCATAGTTAGCTCTGCATCTGTTAAGTTGCTTTCAGGGCTGGTGGGGGCATCCTCTAATTTATTGTCCCTTCAATTAATGATGCTTGTTTTAAAGGATTTCTTCAATATTGTAGTGTATTTCTGCAGCCTGGGTTTTAAGAACAGTCTTCTAAGTGACCTGCTTTTTCTAGCTGAATTAACTAATTTAAGTGATTTTTATTTCTGTGGAATGTAATGGAAACATGGTGGGAACACCTAGGTGTGTCCCCCAAAGGGGGCAGGTTTGACACTATCCCTTGTAAGGCTGTGGATCTGTTGCATCATGTTGCATCATGTGCAGTGCTCTGGTGCAGGGTCTGGGGGTCCCCCTTGGAGGGCAGCCTTTGATGGGCCATGACAGTCCCTCGTGTGGATGTCCCTTGGATGTGCCTTTCCGGGGTGAAGGGCCCCTGGAGCTCCTCTGTGCAGAGAGGGTGGGCATTCACTGCCTCTGACCAGGGGCTTTTTCACCACACACCCAAATCTCCGCCTCCCCCCTTGGATGTGTGGGTCTGGGGAGCCTGGCAGCTGATAGCCCCAGGGCTGTGGTGTCCATGCTGAAGATGCTGGGCTTAATCCTCCTGTGAATGTGTTCTCCCCCAGCCCAGACCTGAGTCTCTTAACTCCATCAGCTTGCAGTCCAGGGCCTCAGTCAGGAGGTGAATTTAGGATGGGATGGTCTTCCATGCAACTTTTGTTACACAATTTTGCTATAATAGGTACTATACAGTGACCATTGAGAAGTAAAGTCTCATTTTGGCTTTATTTTTTTTTTACTTGTTCGGTTTTTCAAAAGCAAATATGACTTCATACCTCAGGTAAGCTTCTCTAGAAAATTGGAGTGGACAGACTTTCCTGGCGTACAAAATGCTGCATGCTGAGTAGTTTTATACATCAAATGCATTTAATTATAATTGCCTGATTTGCCTTTTTGTTTGTTTGTTTTTTGTAGTTTGACTTTCCATTTGTAGACGTTTATCGGGTTAAGTGTTTTCAATTTACATCAAAGCTTTCAGAAGACAATGAAAGCAATGTCATGGACATTGGAAAGAAACGTTTTGGCCAGTTCTGCAGAGATCATCCAGCCTGTTGCTGTAATATTGTTAATAGTACCTGGAATTGTGATGGAGAAACTCTGGATAGTTCAGCAATTGAAGTGAGGTAAGCTTCAATTTTTCTGTCTATATAGCAGAACACATTAAAACTTCTCATTGATTTTAAAGATGCTTATAAAGACATCTCAAAAAATGCCTGTGCATAGCAAATTTGAGTCTTCTGATAATAAACCTAAATATTTTTGTTACCATTTTGAATCCTTTCCAGAGAATACTGCAGCCATGTATGTTTAAATGATCACTATAAGTGAGATGGATGGCCCTACCTTTAAAGTCATACTTACTTCTTAGGAACTGTTATTTTGTGTTTAAAGTGCTGAAAGTGAAGATGGTGTTGGAAGGATTCTTTCTAAATGTATGGAATGCCTCATTACTCTGAGCAATAGCTTTTCCTGTTTGCTTAAGTAAACATCTTTGCCTCACAGAAATACTGAGTATGTCCAATACTTTATGGTTTTTTTTGCACACAGCATAGTCTTACCTCCAGTCTTCACACATAGAGAGAATTTTGCAGTTATGCATATAATGAAATTAGAAAAGAAGTTTGTGAAATTTGAAAGGGTTTTTTGCAATTTTTTTGAGGGGGTGGGGTTTGTTGTTGTTGTTTGGATTGGTTTTGGTTCCTTGTTTTGTTTGTTGTTTTTAGAACAAAGGGAACCGAACCCATAATATTTACATACAAGTGTGTTGCATTATAATATAATCCCTTAGTAGTCCAAAGGGGAGTTTTATAAATGCTGTATATTGTACAAGACTGACTCATCTAGGTGCCCATAGAACTTCTATGCGGACAAGGGGCATAAAAGAGCATCCAGCAGTCTTAGCAGGGAGGAATTGTATCTAAAATGAGGGCATGGTTTCTGTAGTCAGGAGTAAGAAACTTCGTCCAGCTGTTTGCAGTTAATGGATTGTTACATTAAATTACTAGAATTAAATATGTGGTACCCATTTATTTCTTACTAATTTCTATATTTTTCAGGGTTCACTGCCAGTTAATGAAACTGTTTGCAAGGGGAATTGAGGAAGACTGTAAAGATGAAGCTGCCCACAGCCAGAGTAGCATTGAACAATTATTATAGACATTGTTCCTCCAATGGGAGAAGAAAAAGTAAAATCTCAAGGAAATTGAGTAAATAAGCATTTTAGTCAAATTGACAAGTATTTTAAACTTGTAGATTTTTTTTATGGCTTCACTATAATTTTAGAAATCTTACTGTATTGTGTCATTTAAAAAAAACCATTGTAATAATTAAAATATATATTGGAGTAATGTAATCTGTTACATTAGAAAACATGGCATTGGCCTATATCTGTGTGTTCATGATGACTGATAAATTCTCTTTGCTTTTTTAGAGAGCTAATTCAGTAGTTGTGTTGCAATAATATCTAAATGTTATGAAACATTGGACTTCCCACTGGCACCAAGATATGACATTTTCAGTGTCTGAGAAGATGTTTTCTGCTGGGAGTGTTATGTAATTATGTGTGGCTTAAATGCTGGACAACGATGTTGTCATTTGCTTTTTTTTTTTTTAATTAGAATATTTCATTTTGCAATTCTGACAATACCTTGCAACTTATCAATGCAATTCAAACACACATTCCTGGCTTTAAGTAATAATAATAGTGTACAGATATTTGAAAAATAAAAGCACAACTATATACAGGTCACACCTCATCCTATACAGTCTTTGAAGGTTTCCTTGCATCATGCTTTTTGGAATTATAAAAGGTTTTGTGACTATTTGGATGATACCAAATACCACACAGTGCAACTGAAAAGTCTTGCAAGTAAATTGCAGGAGTACTTGTATAATATCAGGAAGGCACAGGAAAGGAAAATATAAATAAGTTCTCAAACACCAGCAAGTTTTAGGTTTTAATAATATCTGGTATTAACATATTAAAAACTTCTCTCTTCACAATTCTCTGGACATTCTGCTCCATGTGTTAAAATGTCTTTGCAAAATAAGATGTTGAAGTGTTAAGTTTAGAAATATGATTTGATGATTGAAAATCCTTAAAATTATCTAATTAAATATGAAACAAAATAATTTGCTTTGTGAAGCCAAGGGAAGAAACTGGCATCTAACAAATCATGAATTCACTGTGCTGATTTGTTTTTATAACAAAAAACATTAGACTGTCATATAGAGAACTATGGAGTGATTATTTAAGTTGTATATAGTTTTGTGTATTGTGGCACATACATGTTTTGTGTCCAGGGTTGGGGCTAAATTTTGCTCTTCTTGTACAGCTTATTCCTGTTAGAGGACAGAAGTTAGCTCCTGTTCTATTCTATATTTTTAAGTGTTTCTTTAAGTTCAAAGTTCTCTTTGAAACTGACTTTAAGACCCTTTATCTGAGGGGGTTTTTTGTGTCCAAACAGCTGATGATTCTGTATTCATGTATATTTATTTGTACTTCTGTCATCCAGCTTGTGTTAGTTTCATGTCTCTCATATACGTGGTCAGTGTAAGCCATGGTGATTGGTCATTTCATTACTGAAGCACTTGAATATTGTTATAAATGGCAGGTTATTTTTTTTTTATTGAAGTTATTTACATTCCAGTTTTGTGTATTATCAAAATTGTGTTCTATATCTTTGCTACAAAGTATTATTCATATTGCTCTATATGAAAAAAACCACTTGCAAATTATATTTGCCTCCAGTACAATCATACAAAGTTTAGGATCTTTATTTTGTTATATAGTATTTCAGGAAAATACTTGAAGACTTTTTCCAAAACTACTGCTCTTTGCTTTCCTTATTAATGCAATGAGTTGAAATGTTGATTCATCCAGTGTTTTTTTTGACACTTCTAACACAGGTGTTACATATACTGTATTTTTAAAGCCATGTTTAATAAGTGATATTGTAGTTTTGAACTAACATGCCATTGAAAATGAAATTATGCAGTTTTACAAATGTGAATATTTTTTGAAAGTGTCATTTGTTAAAAAATGTCTATAGTTATTGTGGTTAATCCATGAATATTGTGAGAGTACCCAGACTTTGAAGATACAGTAATTCTTGTGCAGGAGGTAATGGTGCACACTCAGCTTACCAACAGTGGAGGCATTGCAGCTATCCAGAGCACATTCTCATCAGTGAGAACTGGAATAAATACTAACCAGCTCTTTCCATTAGTTTACTAGAAAGTCATGAGACCCCTACTTGAAAAATGGAGATTTAATCTCATAGTGAATATATATTGAAATGCTTTGAATATTTGAGTATCTGCAACTGAGCGCTTAGTGTTCCCAAAGAAAGCCACAGTGAAGGTCTCCTTTCTGAAAAAAGCCACCAGAAAAGAATGAAAGATCATTGTATACTATTGTAAAGAAGTGTGAAGTAAATAATAAAGGTATTGCAACATAATAAAATTTAAAGGTCATAGGTAATAGAAAAGCTGCATAGTTGCATTTGAATAATTCTATTTGTAGCCTATTAAAGTAGCAAAGCACCATATGTGAGTTCTATGACATGTCTAGTTTATTTTTAAGAGCGCTGTGTAAGTAATGTCTTCTTACATTTTAATTCTAGGGATTTTTTTTTTTCTCTGAATGTAAACTTATTATGGAAATTATGTATAGGAAAACCAGCTTTGATTTTTCTTTTTTCCCAATCTTGCTGGCTTCAAGATTAGAAAATGTGTTCTGTTTTATGAAGCTAGGGCATTTCATTAAAGAAATAAAACTGCATTGTACAACAGCACATTGGTGTTCTTCTTTTCACAACTTGATTTGAAAAAAAAATTTCACTTTGACAGAAATCTGGCAGTAGTATGCTTAATGTAACCACTGTGAACAGATCAAACAAAGTGAAGATCAAACAGAGTGAAACAATCCATAACCTTCCAGTTGGGTTGACGACAGTTATGTGGCAAGTGTGAGTGTGAACAAATACTGAGAGTGGAAGAAAGCAGCTAGTGAAGCTGGACTTAGGCTAATACTAAGCAACTGCACAAGAGTAAGCTGAATATGAAACTTACTGCAATGCAGGTTTTTAGAGTTGTAATTACTGTTGAATAAAAAGAAACTGCTGTTCTAAGAAGCGTAAATATGTATTATACTATAAATAGTGTGGTAAATAGGGGGTGGATCTAGAGTTTTGTGGCAATAATTGCTACAGATGACGTATGTATTCTAAGTAAAACATGTTCATTGTAGATAAACTGGGCACAGAGGGAAAACATGCTTTTCAGTACTGCAGACATTTCTGCTTTTGAAGTCTGTTGTGTTTGTGTGGCAAGGCTTTGGTAGCTGGGGGCTGCAGGGGTGACTGCTCGATGGAGGCACTAGAGGATGCCCCCATGTCACCCAGCCAGCTCCAAGACTGACCTGCCACTGGCCAAAGCTGAGCTCATGGGATGGCATTGCTGAGAACTTCTGTGATAAATAAGAAAGGGTAAAAAGTGCTGTTCAACAGCTGTGAAAGGAGTGAGTGGAAAATAAACATCCTGCAGACCTTTAAGGTCAGTGAAGAAGGGGGAGGAGGTGCTCTGGGCACCACAGGAAATTGCCCTGCAGCCTGTGGAGGACCTCACACTGGAGCAGGTGCATGTGCCCCTAGGAAAGCTGCAACTCGTGGAGAGCCCGTGCTGGAGCAAGTTTCCTGGCAGGGGCTGCGGCCATGGAGAGGAGCACATACATGAGCAGGTATTTTTTGCAGGAACTGTGGCCCATGGGGGATGCTTTCCTCCTCAGGAAGGAGAAAGAAGTAACAAAGTGTTGAACTCACTAGAACCCCACTTCTCCATCTCCCTGCACAGCTCAAGGCAGGGGGTAAGGTTAAAGAGTCAGATGTAAAGTTGAGCATAGGAATGAAGGAGAGAGTGAGGAGACGTGGAGACTGTCTTACTCCAGTATTAATTGGCAATAAATTATATTAATTTTCTCCAAGATGACTTTGTTTTGTCCCTGACTGTAATCGCTGAGGGGCCTCTCTGTCCTTAGCTTGACCCCTAAGCTATTTAATCATTCTTTACCCTGTCCTGAGGAGGATACTGTAGAATCAGAACTTCATCTTGCAAGAAGTGTGTCTTGCAATTCCAGTATTAGTATAATAGGATCTTAGAACCATTTAGGTTGAAAAATACCTTTAATATCTTAAAGCCCAACCCTTAAACCAGCACTGCCAAGACCACCACTAAACCATGTCTCTAAGGGCCATATCTACATGTCTTTTAACTGCCTCCAGGGATGCTGTCTCAGCCACTTCCCTGGACAGCCTGTTCCAATGCTTGACAACCCTTTCCATGAAAACGTTTTTCCTAATACTGAGTTTAAACCTCCTCTGACACAACTTCATAGGAACTTGGATTGGAAGGGACTTTAAAGATCAACTTGAGTCTGAAGCTCATATTGTCCTCACCTGGAGGCCATTTCCTCTATTTCCTCTTCTTCTATTGCTTTTACACAGAAAAGGAGACTGACCCCCACCTGGCTACAAGCTCTTTTCAGGTAGTTGTAGAGTGCAATAAAGTCCCCCCGGACTTCCTTTTCTCCAGAATAAACACCCCCAGCTTCCTCAGCAGCTCCTCACCAGCCTTGCAGTCCAGACATGTCCCCCAACTCCGTTGCCGTTCTCTGGACACGATCCAGCACCTCTTCTAACGAGGGGCCCAGAACTGAACACGGGATTCATTTCCCCAGAACTCCAGCCTTAATCTCCATGAAGTAAATGAGTAATAGGAGTTCATCATTTTTATTCTCATTAGTGACATTGTTCTTGTTTCAACTTTTCAACAGGAGAGTTAAGTAATTTAATAGTGTTTAAGTTGCAGTAAATTAGTTCTGTCCCTAATGAAGGGACACTCTTCCCAGACTTCTCTTACCCACTTTCATGTACATGATCTACATCTTGCAAAGGCTTATGCATGTTCTTAATTAATGCATGACTAGTCCAATTAATTGGAAGGGGTGGGGCATTCATTCTTCAGTCATGCCTTTCAAATACTCTGCAATGAGAGGATTAACTATATTTTTAGTCAATTTCCTGCTGTTGAGAAATGACTCCTAATATGTACCTACCAAAACTGCCAATGAGGTTGTCTTCAAAAAATGTTAGCTCCTTTGTGACTCTTGCATGTCTGAAAAGATGATTTGCTCTTGTTGGTACCTATTTTACCTAAGGTGCAATTTTCTTGCTTATTTTATAGAAATCCTCCAGCAACAAAAAAAAATTAACAGGTTTTTAATCTTTATTTTTTCAATATTTTCAATATTTCCTGTCCCACAGTAGTGTAGGACAGGAAAAATATAAGTGGAAAAATAATTATTCAAAAAGGAAAAACACTGAACAAATAACAGAAGTGATGCAAATTTTAAAAATCCATGAAGAATAAATTCTGGAAAGGATGAAAGCAACTGCAAAATAAATATTAAAAAGAAAAATAAAAGAAAAAATAAAACAAAATACAGATGTTTTTTCAATTTTTCTGCTGGAAAGCTTTGCCTGGGTACGTGTACTGTAACTGCACAGTAAAGCTAGCACTAAAGGTTTGAGCAGATTGCTAGAAGTTTGAATATTTACAACTGGTAGAGAGAATAAAAGGTTCATCTCTGTTATGAAGATATATTTCTAAAAAAATGCTGTGTCACCTTCTGTATTTTTACTCACAAACTTTACCATAACAGCAGCACAGCTAGCAGAGCTGCTAAAGGAGAACTGTAAAAGCAGCTTCATGGTTTCCTGTAGCAATGTGAAACATTCTGAAATGACTGTTCAATTTAATCTCCCAAATATTGTTTTTCATGTTAATATTTACCAGCTGTATTTTAGGAAAGGGCAGTTTGGACAACAAGAAGAAATGCTAGGTTAGTGTTTCAATGCTGCTGATGTCATTTAGGAAAGGGGAGTTTGGACAACAAGAAGAAATGCTAGGTTACTTTCAATGCTGCTGATGCAGGTGGTGGGATAGCAACTCACCCCAGCTAAGGGTCTGTCCCATAGATCTTGTAACATCAAGGGAAGTCCCCACAGAAACTGCTTCCCTGCAGTTCCTAGAACATGTTTGTGTAATCTGTTCTTCTGGGCTTTCAGTGATGGATATTCAGAAGCTGATTAGCTATCAAAACAGATTTCTTAAAGATTTTTAGTTAGAAACTCTTGGTCACTCACTTAGCCGAATCTCCCTTGCTGTATTTACATGTGGGCACAGAGAACAGCTTGTTGCCTTTGGGGAATTCACTCCTTTCAGTCTCCTGTTCTTTGCCTAAACAGTATTACTCTTCAGACAGAGAAAGAAAAACCCTACAATAGTCAAGTACTTATTGATACGAAAAACCACTTGAAGCTGATTTTTGTTTACCACCAAAGAAGTGGCTCTGTAGAAGAGAGCTGGTACTGACAGGGCTGCTCTAGAATGAGTAGCTGCATAAAGTCTTCAATCAAATCAGATTCTGTTTAAGTACCTAGATACCATGTTTTCACAGAATGCTGTTTAAAGCTCTGATGCATGTATTTAAGGTAGATATTTCCTCTCAGCAATACCTATCAGATAAACAACTATTCTGAGGATTACTCTGCTGGTAGATGCTGCCCTGCCCCTAGACCAAAGAACAACCCAATAAGTAGCTCTCAGACAGTTGGAGCCTCCCATTTTCATTGTTTCACAGTGTCTGAACTTTCTATGGAAAACAGGCAAAACCTGAACACCTGGGTATTGCTGTGGTTGTAACTTTCCAGTGAAGACTTTCAGAAAATCCTCAGCATATTGGTGATAGGGTTGGGAAAGAGTAAACATAGGCTTATTCTTTCACCAGAACAGTGGATAGTACTATTTGTTCTCCTCTGTCTGCAGACAAAGCTTTGAGCCAACAGAATTTGTAATTTTTGCTGCATTAAAGAGTTTACAGACTCAGTGGAGGAAAGTGAGGTGGGGAAGAAGCACAAGGTTGCTACTTCCTGTGCTCAGGGAGTCCATCCTGAAGCTTTTGTGGTGGGAACACCAGGCACTAATGCATGGACCAGTGCAGAAGAGGGATGCAGTGAGCAGGAATATCCAAAGATCACTGGCTATGCAGACTTGGCGGTCCAAACTCACCCACCCAGTAAATAAAGCATTGCACCGTACCTGTGTCAATTGCTGAGGTTTGGGACTGAAGGCCATTGCTGTCTGCCCTGCTTTCATTTATTGGAGGTAATGTCACTGGTTTGGGATAAATCTGTCCTGTAACACTGCTATGAGAAAGCACAGCAGGAATTTATTAACAAAAGTGACTCTGTTCAGTGTTTTCACTAGAGATAAAACAGAGGGAAAAGGAGGCCAAGAAAGGGTTGTTGAGTCACACTGCCCTTACTAAAGTAACCCAACACAATGCACCTCACATTGCACGTGCAAAGGCAGTGGGAGGCTATGGCTGCTTGCATTGGTTTCTACCAGGAGTTCTGGTTTCTGCCTTCCAACAAAGCTACTGAGATACAGAATTCTGTTCTCCACTTGGCATGGGCAGTGTTAAAGGAAGTGAATGTTATTCCCATTTAAAGGCACAAATAGCTGTGTTTGAATTCTCTTCAGTTCCAGGACACCGCATACATCCTGCAGTAGTGACAGCCAGAGCTTCCTGTGGAGTGGAAAATGCATTCCTATGCTGTAAATGCAATCTATCAGTGGAAAGAGCTACAGTTACTGCAATTTTAGTGTTTTTCATGAAGCCACTCAGGTGGGAATGCATCTTTGCTATATTCAGAAAGACTGGGCAACTCACATT